CAATAAAAGGCTTCTTCGCGCAGATCCTTGTTGTCGCTCTGTTATAAAAGAATTCGCTCATGCTTTTAGCTGTGCGTATTTCGAGTTATGGATGCACTTGGGAAGTTAGGAGGGCACTCAAAAAGCTAGAATTGCTCTCGGCTGCGCCTCGAGCTACTCTTACGCATTTTTTGTGCCCTCCAAACTTCCCGCGTGCATCCCTAAGTCGATATACCCACGCTAAGCATGAACAAATTCTTAATTACACCGCAGCATATAACCTGGAACTGGGCCATAAGCTGCTGATTATGACTATTGTATAAGGTTACAATTAAGTCGAGAATTATCACGGTTTTAAAGTCTTTTATTTACATTCGCTGGCTAACGCTACTTCAAATAAATAATACATTTAAATATATATATATCACGTCATATTTCAAATAAATTCTTTATAATAATTAAAAATACATAAAATCTTTCTTATCGTACATATTAATAGAAAACTTATTAAATTAATTGTTAAACTTGATTCATATTTAAGCGAAAATGAATCTGTCCATTTTAAAAAAGAATTTTTCGACGTTCACAGTGGTTTGTGTCTTGAACTCGGACAAAATTTCTTGATTACAAACTTTAACTAGTGAACGCATGTTAATTGAGTGAGTTATCCGTTGTAAAATCAAATGTATGAAAACTTAGTTTCTCTTTTTTTTCTAAAGAACTGTAAATGTTACTAGATATTTTCAATTTCTTCCTTACATCTTATTTCCCATGTAAAATCTGCAAGTAACGCAGATCGTGCCTCTCTCTGATTGCATTAAGTACACATAGTTAAAATCTCCACGATGGGTCACCACTCTTTGCAGACAATGAAATGTAAAAAATAACGAAAGACTCTATGAAGAAAAAATTCTGGTATGTAATCCCCATTCCTCTCCAATTCGTCATGAGTATCCGGGACTTTGCACCGCACTCAAGACATCTGGGATCCATTGAGACTTCGGTAGGTCACTGGATGAGTGTTTGTTTTCTCTGCACACATTCCACCATGGCATCCTTTATAAGCTGTTCGTTGATTGCCGTGTTAAACTCAACTAAGCCACTGAGCCGATCAAAGATGTCGTGCGAATACTTTAAGTTAAAGGTACTGAACCGTTTGTTGGGATCGTTGAATATTGGAAAATCACCAGCTTTCTGTTCCTCCTTAGTAGTTCGAGGGACTCCTTTGAAAGGAGATTATAACAAAATGATATTGAGGGTTTTTTTCTTCAAAATAAATAATATCATTTCGTTGTAATTACACTAATCGTTGTAATTACACTAACAAAGTTAAATAAGTAGAGATCTACTGAGGGCCTTTTTTTCTAAGAAATTCCGGAGCCTTCTGTATCTCAGGAAGATTTACCCCTACTCATCAAATTCTAGAGCGCATTTTTATTGAGAGTAGTAAGACCAAAACCAAAGTTATCACAATGACCAATCAGAAGGCGGAGAAAATCATTAAAGGAAGCCGATGAAGGCGCAAAGTAAAATCAAGCAAACTGCCTTCAGCACGGGAAAAAAAGTGAGCTAGTAACGGCTAATTTGAGTTTCTGACCTGGTCTCACAAAGTCTCTGTAAGTCTTGTTTACAAGGACAAAGTGAAGTATAATTGGACACTCGGGGTTTGTAGGATCTTTGAACACGTAACATTCCTTCCATCCGTCTCTGTCAAACTGTTCGTCTGCGTCAATTGGCGGGAAAAGAAGCCCGTTTCGTTTAGCCCAGTCTTCCGCTAATTTGATATTCTGAGGAAATGAAGGAAATGCTTAAATTTAGTAGAAATTCAAGTGAGCAACAAAAGCCATTACGCATAAGATATTCGTCTTTTGGCCAAGTAAGAAGCAGGACACATTTTTGACTGAGCTAAGAGGTTTGCAACTACGATTCAAAACAGATTTTCTAATGACAGGCAAGTTCGAACAGTATGCACTGAGAATGCAGTTCTTAACCGGTAATATGACGATCTCAGTGGAGATGGCCAATATCTATGACTGGACACACGCACCTTAAGTACAAAGAGAGACATTTTTTTCTTTACCTTAAATGGCCTTTCCTCGTCAGACTCTCTGGCGCTGAAATCAAATGACAGAATAAGATCAACGGACCTCTGTTTCCTCAGAAGGGGTGGGTAGGGTGAATTAAACATCAGTCCTGCATCGATGAGTTCCATTCGTTTTCTCTTCAAGTTATCTTTTCCAAAGAGACACTGTGTTGCTGCTCCGTCTGTGTACTCTGGAAAAACAAACGCATTTGTGTTGGTCTTTTCCTAGAAACTTAACAAAACTAAGGACTAAAATGAAGTTTTTTTTACCAGGTCAAAGCGGTCATAGAACATTACAAGTTCAACACTGGAAATGCGCACTGAAACCGAGCTTCCAAGAAATAGACAACAATAGCTTTTCTACAGACAACAGTTGCGCGTATGAGAAATCAAAATGTGTCTCATTTCGTTTGAAGCACAACTGAAGTACGGGTAGTATGCATTTCATTGCATGAAAAGTGCGGTTTATATGAGCGTTTCTGCGTTTCTCAGCGTTCTACTTTTCTTTTCATTTTAATTGATCAACCTAAATTAATTGATTAACCATAATAATGATAAAGCTTTTTACAGTACAGATAAATACCTTTAGCTCCATTAAGCCCCAGGCCTCGAAGAAAGTTATGGACCAGCCCTGCTCTTTTTGACCGAGTTTGGAGACCTGGTAACTTCTCAAGTACATAATCTATCACTTTTCTACGGAACTCTTTCTTCTCCTTTTTCTGGTTTTTTGTCGCTTTGCCTTCCAACTTGTGGAGTTCTTCATCTGCTTCAACGTCTTTTTGTAGTTTGGCAATCAGAGAACTTCCAACATCAATTTTGTTTCTTTTCCCGCCAACGTCACCGACGCCTTTATCGACATCATCATCACTATCGTCATCATCATCATCGTTTTTGTTGTTCTTTTCAGAAAGAAACTGTCGCTCTGTCAAAAACAAACAAAGTGTTACTCTCCGTACGGATATCACTCCCTGTAGCTAACCTTTTCTTACTCTAAAAAAGACTTAAAAAATGCTACTTGATCTTATACATGCCTGGGTTCAGCTATTCAAAGGGTGGATAACGCTATCCAATGGATAAATCGCTATCAAGAGAATAAGTATTCACAAAACACATTGTGCAATCCACCGCAATGGTAAAGCGTAAAACCGGATAAGAGGCGGTTAAGTGGTATTCTTTTGAGGGCCATGAAGTCAGTCATCCATAATTTACCTAATAGATGTTTCTCGTTATCTTGTTCCGTATTTATCTGCTTTTCTTGGTTCAGAACTCTCTGCAGCAGGATTGCGTAAAAACTTCCCCAGATTCCTAAACACAATAAACAACTTTAAATAAAATCACTGCATGCTGAAATCAATAAATACACTTAGAGCTTCATTTCCTTGTTTCACTCCATCTTCTGACTTATTTCTCTCCGAACTTACGCCTCGCGCATTGTGTTTACATTTACATTCCGCGGACAACACAGTAACATGCTGTCTATGTGAGGTCTTTGTAGGGTGTGGCCTTTTGTGATTGGCATGATTGTCAATCAATGACCGGTTCACGAAATGCTGAGTCAACTTTTAACCCAAAAACTGTTAGAGAATGTGTTCCCCCACCCGCCATACCTTGCAAATAATAAAGTGGAGATTCAGGGAACTTCTCGATGAGTTTCCCACAAAAGAATTTACTTCCAAAAAGTTCTGTCTTCATAAAGGTGCCATACTTGTCCATTCCAATCTCGTAAGGGGTAAACTCCACCCATTCTAAGCAAAAAGAAACAAAAACTTATAAACAAAAAATCTCGAGTAAATCCGAGGTTGATAAATGTCTTATTTC